AAGTGGTAGAGCACTAGCCTTGAGCTGAAGAGCTGAGAGACAGCACCCAGGCCCAGAGTTCAGGCCCCACAACCGGACCCAAAAAAAAAGGAAAGAAGGGGATGACACTGATCAAGACACATTGTATTTTGTATTCATAAACTATGTTGTTAAATGGCCAACTCCTCTGTACAGCTACTTAAAGAGAATTAGTAAATTAATAAAAAACTGTCTTTAAAAAAGAAATCATCACAGCACAATCCCTTTGTACAATTCTGAGGTATCCCCTAAAAAGTCTCAGATTTCATCATGGCCTATATATACTAATTTTGTTTACATTGAAGTGTAGGCCAGCCATTGATGGCTCATGCTTGTTAATGCTAGCAATTGCAGGAGGCTGGGGGGTATGAAGATTGGGGATCAAAGCTAGTCTGGGTAGAAAAGAAAGTCTGTAAAACTGGTATCTCCAATTAACAACCAAAAAACCTGGACGAAGAGGTGTGGCTCAAAGAGTCCTGGCCTTGAGCAAAAAAGCAAAGAGATAGCACCTAGCAAGTCTTTTTGTTATTTAGAAATCTATAATCAATTAATACATACTGGATATATTCAAAAGGAATTTTAGTTTAGACCTAATATATTACCTTAAAGGCTGAACATTTAGCTTATTTGCCATATATGTTCTAATATATATATATATATATATATTAAATACTGGTCCTGGAAGATGAATTGAGGGCCTGGGCACTGTCACTGAGCTTAGGCTAGTGTACTACCACTTAGGCCACAGCTCTTCTATTTTCCAGCTTTTTTGGATTGTTTACTTGAAACTTGCCTGCCTAGGCTGGCTTCCAACCACCATCCTTAGATCTCAGTCTCCTGAGTAACTAAGATTACAGGTGTGAGCTACCATTGGCTGGCTATTTTGAGAATTTTCACTTTCAGGTAGACTCTGAGCCAGGACAACTTGTCCCATGTCTGTATATTTTATAAAGTAACAGGATAGGATACTTCAGAATGCTATAGTTTTCATGGTCTGGGCCATTCAGCACAGTTAAACCAACTTCTATAGTGTAATATGTGCTATGCATTTTATATATTTAAACTGATCTAAGAAAAAGAATAGAATAACAAATATCAAAAGGGAACTTGTGAAAAAGCTGTGGTAACATACTATGTTTGAGACAAGGATAACTAACAGAGTTGTACAATGTGGAGAAATTTAGGCTCCAAGAACATACAGCCAGAGTTTGAATTCCAATTGTCCATGTTGTTATATGTGACCTCAGACAGGTTGCATAACCTATGTGCCTTCAATTTCTCATCTGTAAAATCAGTATAGTCACAAGTATCTAGAAATTTACAAAGTTGTCGCATAGTTTATTACTTGTAAAGTACTTTAAACAGTACTGCAAGTTTTACTTCCTTTTTCCTTCTTGTAACTTAACAGACTATTCTTTACTGGACTGTAGGAAGTTTAAGCTTAAGTTGTAAAGTTTAAACTTAAGCAATTCTAAAACAACCTAAAAGGGGGGGAGGGGGCTTAGACTCTAAATATTAATTTCTCTTAACTATATTTTCAGTTAATAACTATTAGTTAAGCTCCGAGTGCCAGTGGTTCACACCTGTAATCCTAGCTACTCAAGAGGCTAAGATCTGAAGATCATGGTTTGAAACCATCCCAGGCAAGAGAGTCTGTAAGACTCCTATCTTCAACTCACCAGCAAAAGGCCTTAAGTGGAGCCATTGCTTAACCAGTATAGTGCTAGCCCTGAGTCCAAGTCCCAGGTCTGGCACCAAAACAAATCGAAACACTAGGTAATAATTATCAATATGTAAGATAAGCCCCTTACAGATCATCTTCTACCTAATATTAAAAAATACTCTAAAAACCTATCCAGCTCTCTAAACTCCTTTTTGTCTCATGAAGAAATGTGAAAAAATTACCTCAAGCAAAACATCTCCATTTGCTACTCTTACTCTAATTCAGATGGCTTTACATAACCACTCTGTTATCTGCACAAACAGAGCTATTGCCAAATGTGCCACTCTAGAAATAAGTGTTTCTATTAAATTTGGATCGAACCCAATTGAGCTATTGCTAATGTAACTTTTAAGTTATAACCCAAGTTTATATAATATAAAGCTCAAGATTACAAAATATGGGCTATTTCTAAATGAAGCCATATTTTCTGAAAATAAATTGCCCCAAGAATATAGTTTCAATGGTTCAAATACATGCTAAAGGAATTTAATAGGATTAAGCATCTGTCCATGAAAAATTGAATAAACAAGAGGTCATATTTACGGTTTCAATCAAATGTAACTGGAAACTGTTTATTCATCGCTTGATGTTATTAACAGATGATATTGTCCATTGGGAAATCATACATGGGACACTCTGTATGTTTCTGTGTGGGAGGGCAGTATAAGGGATTGAACTTGGCCTGCTGCTTGCTAAGCAAGTGTTCTGCTAGACCATGCCTCCCAGCCATTTTGTGCTGATTATTTTTGAAATATGTTCTGGTTTCCTGTGAGTGTGTGCCTCAAGTTTAACCTACCTATTTTAGGCTTCTCATTGTATTTGGGAATAACAGGCACATGCCAATAGGCCCAGCTTTTGAGTCTCTCTAAGACTTTTCTGCTTAAGACTGGCTTGCAACTGTGATCCTACCAATCTTGATCTCTCACAAAGTTACAGGATGAAAATGAGTCTCAAAACTGTGGGCTGGTCTCCAACAGCCATTCTTTTATTTTTAGCTTATAATCCTAACTACTTAGGAAGCTAAGTCCAGCACCTGTTCTGTATAATAGAAATATTGAACAATTTCTTAAAACAAAATACTAGTATAAAATTTTAACTACATTTAATATAAGCCATCTAACAAGCTTCATCATTCTACAAAATTGAACTGGTCCACTTGTAGGCCTACCTGAGATTTATCTTGTTCCAATCTTTTCTTCTGTCTGACAATGTCTTCCAGGTGATATACTGATCTGGCTACAACAGGGTCGATGTCAAATAAATCATGTGATGTCAGTGAAGTTTCTTGCCGTAGCATCCACTTATAAAAGGGTAAGCCAAGGGGAAGGTCCACCTGAATGGCAACACAAAATGCAGTCATACACAATGAGCTTCTAGATTACCTCAAATCTTTGATGATTTGAAAAGGCCAAATTAATCCCCCAAAGATATTTATTTACAAATCATTACTCCTTTTACATGAAATAGAGTCTTAATTTGGAGCCCTAATTATGGTAACAAATTGAAAATAGTAATGAATTAAACATAAACACAGAAAAGAACTTTTCCTTAATGATAGACATATATTCTTCATAATACACTTTATAAGAGAGTCCCTGAAACACTAAGAGGCCCTTAAAGAGATTTAACTCTATTTGAACTAAAGTAGATGCAATTTAATTCCACTGCAGTCTGAATTATTAAATATTCTGAAACAAGTTAAAATGGAGAACTTACTGTATTTAAAATTTAGAAAATTTAACTTCTAAAATAATTGACATTAGTCCATTTTTCTGTTAAAAATAAAAGCTTGTAAATTTGACAGTAGATGAAAATGTCTTATGTATACAGATAAATTATCTAAGAAAATGTGAGAAGAGGAAATAAGAAAAGTCCAGAAATATTCAAACCTCCACAAACACTGATTACTTGGGTTATTTTCACAAGAGCATTCTAATAGAAATTTAATGAGGTAGAGCTACATATGATTATAGCTTTGCTACTGAATTAGAAATGTAATGTATAATACTTTCAAAATTGTAATTAAAGCAACTCTTAACAATGCTCGCTTCTTTAGACTCTGGTTACTACTGAAGGACTGGGCCAACGGCTGGAAGCGGCTATGAAAATTCTGTTTTGGGAAGTAGGACAGCCTCACTTCTATCTTTCTGCATCAGAACTGGCATTTTTAAATTCCTAAGTGATTCATACGCACCTTAAGATTGAGAAGAGTGCTCTAATATACAGCATTGAGTGCAGGGAACTGAGGTACTTTCACAGAACATTGTACACCAAAATTGTAGAAAAGCAAACAATCCTAAACTTACCAATCTGAAATCCATGATAGCCTTAGCCATTAATTTTCCTAAGAAGCGAAACTTCATCTTAACCTTTGCGATATGAGCTGGCTTAGCTGTCCTACCAAAAGGAAGCGCAAACAGGCCCTGGAGGTTTTGAATATACTTGGTCCCTTCTTGGCTTCCTGTAAAATGAGCAATTCACCAAACTTCAGATGGTATTTCCAAAAACAAAAAAACAAAACAAGAACAAAACCTGGTAACTTAGAACATGTAAGAAATTTAACATTGCCAAAACTGGAGAATAGAAGTCCTCTAGAGCTGCAAGGTCTTATCCTATTTAATAAACAGGTTAAAAAAAAGGCTTAAAGAACATGGTCCTATAACAGAAATTAATTATAACGAGCCTTAATGTAAGGGCCCATTATCTGATCTTGAATAGCACAAATTCAGTGACTCACAAACTTAAATTACCTTTTGGATTGCTAAGAGTTACTTCTTCACCTCTCCAGAGACCCAAGTCAGCTCTCTGTAGTTCCTGAGATACAAGTGCATAAAACTCCAGTGTAGGCCCAAGACCTGTACCAACCTAAAAAAGGAACAAAAACAGAATGACTCCCAAATTCTATAAAATCATGGTACTTTTTACCTGCTCTTGTATTAACAATGTGAAAACTAATAGAAAGTGTTTACCAGGAGGCAACAGAGGTATTTACTTAAAAAAAAAAAATTTTTTTTTTTGGGTCAGGTCGTGGGGCCTGAACTCTGGGCCTGGGCACTGTCCCTAAGCTCTTCAGCTCAAGGCTAGTGCTCTACCACTTGGCCACAACGCCACTTCCGGCTTTTTTTCTTTTGTGGTGCTGAGGAATCAAACCCAGGGCCTCAGGCATGTAAGGCAAGTGCTTTACCACTGAGCCACCTTCCCAGCCCTACTAACATTTTTTGACTGAACATTCTTTCAGTCTTAGCATGTGGAACAAAACTAGAAGCCCTTTGAGTAAAACCACTAGTCCATGACATATGATATGAAAACAACCAGGGTAGCATTCACAGCCTCATCATTTTTTTATGTTCTAATCAAGATTCCACCAGAATGTAAAAGAAGGGAGACAGCTAATAAAAACTTCATATCATTGTTCAGTCTGCCAGGGCTACTTAGGGCACTATTTTACCATTATTATAGTTATTGTAAAAAATGACCTACACTAGCCCTAAAAGCTGAGACAGTCTATCAGATATTCAAGACAATGTTGGCTTGGACTGTTGACATCACTCCCATCCTACTGCATTAACTCCCATATCTTTGTTAGAATTTTATAACAGTAAATGGCATCAAACCTCACAATGAGTGCTTGAAACAAAACCTTGTAGCAAATATTGGCGCTTCTCCTCAGTTCTCCCCACAATACAAACTATAGGAAAATGACAGGGGTACAGGGGGGTAGGAGCAAGCCAAGCTTAAGTTCTTATCATAACCTGGCATTCTGTGATGCCTCCTTTTTTCCCCAGCTTCGCTGACCTTCTCCATCTTCATTTACTTAGCTCTAATCACCTTCATTCTCACGTTATGCTGCTAGAGCTATTCTTCCAAACAGCAATGACTCGCCCTTATGCTTAAATGTTGTCTTTGATTACCCTACCCGCTTGCCTTTGTCTTCATGCTCTATCTTCTTTAACCTTCTCTTACAATGCTTGTCTAGTATTTGTGTGTTTTGCTAACGTGTATGTGTCTTTCTAAACTAAAAGAAAAGCTCTATAATGATAGGAACTTTACATATATTTTATTATCCTCTGAATCCTAGACAAGAGGAAGATGACAAAGGCAAAGAAAAGTTGTAGTAATGTTTAGTATCCACTAGATGGTGCTTAAAACAAGTTAATTTTCTTCCCTTAACATAAAATTACCCCAGGATAAGAAGGCACTGACAAGTATTTCCTACATTCAGATATTGTTTATTTCTGCCAGTTGTGAGTGAAAAAGATAGGCAAGAGCACAAGGCCCTGAGTGCAAGTCCTAGTTTTGGCACAAAAAATACTGTTATTTCTAAAAATAAAACCGATTTTAGGTGTTTGCATCATACAGCCAATACTTTCAAGTTTTGGGAACCCTCTCTTCCCCCAATAACGATAGATCTTGGAATCTTTTTCAGAGTCAATGGGTAAAACCCACCAAAGAAGTTGATTTCTGCACTAGCAGTTAGACATTGCCCCTCAGAAGGGTCAGTGAGAAGCCTTTCTGAGCTAGTTTACAGTTCATTTAAGATGCAATTTGATTTGAACACTAAAGGATGAGAGGAAAATTTATTCCCAGAAAGAAAAATGCTGAAATAAAGTAGAAGCATATTTAAACAAAGTTAAGTCAACCAAGTAGGTAAGAGCACTCAGGTCTCTACCCTCATACCAGGGTTTGAACTCCAGGCCTTGTACTTGTTAGCCAGGAGCTCTAAAACTTGTTGGACACACCTAGGAGTGTCCTGAATAGAAATTCTACCTATGGACTTAAGGTACACACCACTAAATCGGGCTTATTTGCAGAGATGAAGTCTTGCTAAATTTTATTTCCAGCCCAGACTTGAACTGTGATACTCTCTGCCTCCTGCATAGCTGGGACAAGTATGAGCCACTACACCAGCCAGGTTTTGCAGTCTCATGAAGAAGAAATTGGAGTATACACTTAATAACTACATCCTATTAGCAATAGCCAAGGATCCAAGTATATTTCAAAAGTCCAAGTTTACTCCAATGGGCAAGGATCTCAATCCAATTTGGGATCTTCTTCCTTTCCAACACTCCCCGAACAGTACTCATTTCTGTTCCTTGACACCAAAGCCTGACTCTTTGAGCCTACTGGAAGATGGTTCCTTAAGCCTCCCTTGACTTCCACTAAGGTCTCAAGTCAAGAGCTCACTTCTTCACCTTTACCGGACATGTCAGAGACAAGACTCCTTGCCCAAAAGCTTCACTCACTAGTTAAACAATACCACTCACTTGCCATTCTGTGCCCTTGTCCTGTGTCTTCTCCTACAACACTGGGAATTCTGCTAGAATCTGGATCACTAGCATGCAGCATAATTCTCAGTACACAACACCTTTAAATTTTAATTTTGGTGACTGTATACTTTCTAAAGTTTAACAAGAAGGAAAAATGCTTAAAATCATGATTAAGGCTACTGGGATAGCAACAGATAATACTGTAAATTAAATTTCTAAATTTACCATCCATTACTCTGAGCCAAATATTGTTTTAACTCATCACATAAATGAACTCAGCTACAGGTTTGGGTTAGACTATTATCACCCACATTTTATACATAAGAAAATAGAAAGGTAGCCGGGCACCGGTGGTTCATGCTGTAATCCTATCTACTCAGGAGGCTGAGATGAGGATTGTGGTTCAAAGCCAGCCCAGGCAGAAAAGTCCATGAAACTCTTATCTCCAATAAACCACCAGAAAACTGGAAGTGGCACTGTAGCTCAAGTGGTAGAGCGCTAGCCTTGAGCTGAAGAGCTGAAGGACAGTGCTCAGACCCAGAGTTCAAGGCCCACGACCGACCAAAAAAAAAGGAAAAAAAAGAAAGAAAATAGAAAGATAGCTGGGGATATAGCTCAGTGATAAAGCATTTGTCTAGTCAGAGATCCGGGGTTCAATCCTCCTCATTGGGGAAAAAAAGAATGGCAAAAGAAAGAAAAACACACATCTTTAAAAAAAAAAATGAGCATAGGGCAATGAAGTGGAAGCTCTGTTAAGTTTAAGTCCATGTAAGAAGATTTTCATAGAAGTCAAATTCTCCTAAGTTCTGTCTTTGTATTTTGAAACTAAAATGTACAGAAAATTGTTCCTTTAATCTTTTGGAATATTGTCCTGCCTGTTGAAAAGCATCTGAAAAGAAGACAAAGACAAGAAAGTAAAACATTTTAATTCACAGATGACAGGATTCACAGATGATGAAGGTCAGCTACACTGAGTAAATTATACTTCCAGCCTTATGTCTTCTTTTATAATGTCGGTAAACCAAGAATAACTGTCATATTTTTTAAACAGTTGAAAAAAACATCTTGACTAGTACCTTGAAGATGTTGAAAATGGCATGGACTTCAAATTTAATTAGTATCAAGTTTCATCGGGACATGGCCATACTCATTTATGTCTATGATCACTCCACAGCTAATAAAGGCAGGTTATAGTAATTGTGAGAGGCTACGTGACCCACAAGTTTGAAATATTTAGTATCTAGTTCTTTACAGAAAAGTTTCTCAAGCTACAAGAATCCTAAGTCATCTATTAAAATATAACTAGATTAAGTTTATGATTGTCACAAAAACCAAGGTATTATAAAATACAATTGTCCATAAACCAGCAACAAACTGAAAATGGAAGAAATAGTACCACTTTCAACACCATGAAACATTTATATATTCTAGGGAAAATCTAACCTAACATATGCAAGAAAGACTTCTAGACATAAAATATGAAACAACACAGAAAAATCAAAGCTGTAAAGTAGACAACAACACTATTTTATTTTATTGAAAAATGTCAAAAAAAAAAAAGAAAAATGTCAATTCTCTCCAAACTGAGCACAATTCAACAAAATCCTAACCAAATTCCTATTAAACTTTACACTGATAGGCGGATTCTAAAATTCACATGGAAGTATTAAAGAACTCTGAAGAAAAAAACTGGACGACTCATGCTATCTAATTAACATTTATAATAAAACTATAGTAAGTAACATGGTATAGAATTCTGATAATAGGATCAAATGGAGAAATCTAGAAAGTAAGCCAAAGAGTCATAGTATCGATACCAAATAAAAGTGCTGAGGGGAACATTACTGCCTGTGTTTAAAAAAGAAGGGGAAAGAAGAGGGAAGAGGAAAGAGGGAAGAAGAAGGGAAGGGGGAAGGAGAAAGGAGAAGGGAAGAGGAGGAAGGAGGAAGGAGGAAGAAGAAAGGAGGTAGAAGGAAGGAGGAGAAGAAGGAAGGAAGAAGAGAGAGGAGGAGGAAGAGAAGAGAAGAAAGAAAAGACTTGAGTCTTGATATAGGTGTATAATCCTAGGAGTGTGGCAAGTTCAGTGCCAGTCTAGACTACATGGAGAGTGTTTCAAACCAAAAGGATGAAGGAGTTAACAGATGGAACAAAAACAATCCTCACCTCCACCAAAAAACACAAAAGACTCCTCTAAAAAAAAAAAGGGGGGGGGGGGGGGGAAGTTGGGAAGGTGGCTTAGTGGTAGAGTGCTTGCCTAGCATACATAAAGCCCTGGGTTTGATTCCTCAGTACCACATACACAGAAAAAGCTGAAGTGGCTGTGGCTCAAGGGGTAGAGTGCTAGCCTTGAGCAAAAGAAGCACAGGGACAGTGCCCTAGCCCTGAGTACAAGCCCCAGGACTGGCAACATACACAAAGAAAGTGAACCTCTACCCCACTCATGGCTATAATCCTACCTCACTGTGGAAGTAGAAAACAGGGCATCATGGGTTGAAGCCAGTCAAAGCAAAAAGTTCTTAAGACCCCATATCTTAACTAAAACCTTAGGGTCATGGTTCATGTTTATGCTGCTATTCATGAGGCTGAGAAAAGGCTAAGTGCAGTGCCAGGACAGGCAAAAAAAGTTCATGAGACCCCAATATCTCAATAGAGCAAAAGCTTAAGCTGTGGAGTACAGTACAGTAGCCATGTAGCACGTTTGAAACCCTGAGTTTAAACCCCAGTCTGTAGTGATACTAAATGGATCACAGGCTAAGGGTGAAAACAAAACCACAGGAGATAAATCTTTGAAGCTGTCAAAGTGTAAAAGCAGAAAAGAAAAATAATAAACTAATTTCATAAAAATTTAAAAGTTCTTGACCCAGGTTCATCATGTAAACTGAATGTATATTAACAGTGGAAATAATCAGTTATTGGAGCAGCTTTCTTGATTACTTCAATAATCTTTCAGATTTGTAAAGAAGCCTAAAAAAAAAAAAGTTCTACAATACAATGGAAAGATATTTCGTAACTGACAGTAATAAAATATTTATGAGTCATTTGAATCCACAAAAGTCAGACTCTTAATTCCATACTTTTTTTTTTTTTTGTCGGTTGTGGGGTTTGAACTCTCTGGGCTTGGGTGTTCTCCATGCGCTCTTCAGCTCAAGGCGAGCGCTCTACCATTTGAGCCACAGCGCCACTTCCAGACTCTAATCCCATAATAAAACAAAATGTGAAAAATATGCCAAAAATTTGGAGAATTAATTAAGTGTGTGGCCAGACTCTGTTGGCTCACACCTATAAACCTCAGGAGATTGAGGTGTGAGGATTATGGTAACGCAGGCAGGAAAGTCTCTTATCTTCAATAACCACCCCAAAACCACAGGTGGAGCTGTGGCTGAAAGTGGCAGAGCACTAGACTTGAACAAAAAAGTCTCAGGTACGATGCCCAAGCACCGAGTTCAAGCCTCACAACTGATCAAAACAAAAAAGTATGCATAAGTATGTGAAACAACTGGACAGATGGACATACATACTTCAAATGGGAGGAAATGTGAACTTTTAACAGCTTTTAAAATTGAAATATATTCAAGTCTGGAATGTAGTTCAGTGTGGAGCACTTACTTGCCTACCATGCACAGGGTCCCTGGGACTGATATTTAGCATTGGAAGAAAAGAAAAATGGAGCTAGGTCCTGATGGCTTGAAGGCAGCGGAGACAGGAAAGTCTCCAGTTAAATACCAAGAAGCTAAAAGTGGATCTGTGGCTCAAGAGGTAGATCCCCAGTCTTGAATAAATCACTAAGAGAAAAATAGATCAAACCTTAGTTTTTAAGCTATTATTTTCCAAATGGCTTTCAGAATTTCATAGAGACAAGGAACCTAAATGACATTTTATCCAGAGAATAGTCAAGCTAAAAACCACTGGACCTAATAAGCTCACCTCATTTTCATACTGGATTTCTAACATGGCCCGTGAACTGCCAAGGTCCTGCATTACAGATTCGGCTTGCTTCAACAACTCCTCTCTGTTCACAGTACGCTACGAAGAAAGTAGAGATGTGAGTCAATTACTCTACCTACATTCATTTTAATAAACTGGTGGCATTCTGTTAAGGACAATATAATCAATTAAGCAATTTGATCAGTTTAACCTCAGATATTAGTAGCTGCATTGCTGCAAACATCGACAGCATCCTTGCATACATGAAGAAGAGCTAGACTCAAGTCTAATTACTAATTTATCTTGAACCCATGGCATGGTTAGAAAATTAAGGTTTCAAAGGAAAAAGATCTCTTTAATTCTATTAAACATCAACAGTATCAAGGACTACCTTCATGAAATTTCCCTGGGCAAATTTATATATCAGATATGGTGAAATAGGTTTGATGATAAGTGAGATAGCTGAGCTGGAAACCTAGAGGCTCTCAGCTACAAGGCTCCTACAATACTGCTGAAGATGTGCCCTAATGAGATTTGTGAAGATAACACTTTGCTACCATTTCTAAAGCAGGGTAACACTGCTATTTATGGAATCTTCATGGGACATATAGAGATAGAAATAGCACAATTATTTTTTAAGTATAGCATTTGCTTTTTCGTCTTGTTTTCATGACAATCGATTCCCTTCTAATTACAAGAGGTTCCTACAAGAAGTTGGAGGTAAAAAACTGGAAGAGAAGCTTAAATCCTTAGTAAAGAGAGAGAGAGAGAGAGAGAGAGAGAGAGAGAGAGAGAGAGAGAGAGAGAGAGAGAGATGGAACAGAAAAGTCATCAGTGAAAGTACAGGTCAGAACTGTAGATTGGTGTCTCATGTGAATCATATGGGCCTTGTGTTTCACAGCCAAACTGTGGAGCCAAGATTAGAAGCACAGAAGATGAAGTCAGCAACACTGGAGCTTCCTGGGATAGAGACTCAAAATATATTCAGGATTCTGTTTCAGACTTTTCTAATGGGAAAAATATGTTAAGGGAGAGAAGTGGATCTGGTTAAGCCTACTATTGCATGAAGAATCAACATCCTTATCATAAGAATTACAGTAACTAAAAAAACTGGAAACTATTTCAGGAACTAGTGGACTCTTAATAGAGGATTAAAGAAGAATCATAGACCAGTTTCAACAGATTAATAGAAAAGTAGAATTAACACAGAAGTGATAAAAAGAGACAAAATACAGTGGTGACTTATAGCTCTAAAACCAACAGGTATAATTAGGCACAGACCATCTGTAGTTTTTCCATTAATTTGAAAAGCTCAGTTTAGGTATTTTTGGAAGAAACTTACTTTTTTTCTATCCAATCGAGGTGCAACTCTGCTATCTTGAGAATCAGACTGGTTGATTTCTGGGTTGGTATCAAGTAATCTTTGCATTGCCCGGTCTCGATCAAATGCAGTTACATAAAAAAGCATTTGCCGGGTATCAAAAGGAAAGAAAAATGGGCTGCAAAAAGATGCAATATTAACTTGTTATCTGGATAAGAATCAGAAGCCATTTAAGAAAAAAAAAATCAAAATATATTACTAGAAACACAATCATATACCACAGCACTTAAAATTTCTAATTGCCGACTAATAAAACTTAAGTACTTCTACATAAAATCTAAATTTTAATCTCCAAAGCCTTACACTTAAATTTATAGTCTACTCAATCTTTAATCTACTCCAAAGCTTTTAGAAAGTTTAACACCATAGCCTCATTTGGTTGCTAAAACCCCATACTGCATATACCCAAGAACTAGTTTGTTTCTTCTCAATTTTCCTCCTCGAGTTTAGCATTTGAAGTCACTCAAAAACTGCTAAAAGGCAGCTTCTGCTTTTCAAAGAAGCAGCCTTACAGCCCTATGATACAAGGTCTTACTGCCTCTTTATTCAGGTTTTAGTAGATTTTTGACATACACTTCTGTCAAAAGTACTTCCTACAGTGACCTGAATGCTTTCTATTTATTCTATTAACAATGGCAGCAGCCTTGCAATGATATAATCTATGCAAAGAAAAATATCAAATTTCTAACTTTCATTGTAATTAATAAATGAAATGTAAAAATTATCTTACCTGACCAGTGCTCACTGTATATATCAGTGAAAATCTAGAGGCTCTGGTACAAAAGGCTCTGAGAAGAACAGCCTTTTGGAATTCAATTTTATGATTTAATTCTCCATCCCATGTCATGTAGAAAGACATATACAATAGGAAAAACTAGTGCCAGCCTCAACACAACTAATCTGTTTGTATGCTAAAGCTGTATTATATTGAGTTGTGACTGAACATAACAGTTGATCAGGCATAATAAGGATACTTCTGTAAGAAGTATTAAAACCAACATTCACAAAGCCATGAAAGTAATTGTCTTACCAGGTTTTTCCTAGCTCAGTTAGCCATGTTGGGATGTTTCCTGTCATGATTACTAAAGGATCTTGAAGCTGCCTGTTTGCTTTTGCTGTCAATTTACTGTTATTAAATTCACTAGTTGGAATAATCTCCTTGCACATTGCATTCTGTAAAATGTTAAAAACAAGAACAAGTAAACAAGATTATATTCATAATCTTTTCCTTTACCCTCAAATATATGCAGAGTGCCAAGAATTCACCTTTTTGTCTCCAACACCCATTATATATGTCCTCACTGTTGTGTCCCAACCCAAACAACTCTTGTAATAAATGGTTGAAACTACCAACCACCACAAGCCAATGATATTGCCTCAGCTACTTACTGATGTGCCAGCTTGTTTCATGTAAGGTCAGTTTTTTTTTTTCACTTATCTATATAGATTAAATATCACAGAAAATACCAGTTTTCACTCAGCTTTTTACTTCATCTTAACTTCAGCAAATACAAATTTGGTTAATTTGTACCCTAAAGAAACATTTAGATTTTTAAATGTCCCTGAATAATCTTAACTATGATAAATTTATGCTCAACTTCCATCTGCAGCTTAATTAATAGGGTTATAGCTAGACAATGTTCTACAAATAAATCTGCACAAGAATAATGTAAGAATTTTTGCCATGAAAAAAAGAAGGAGCAGAGAAGTTTCCCCAGATTAAATACATAGCATATTACTGGGCTAGGATTCCTGAATTTACATGAATCACTGTTTTGATTTTGCATGCAAGACAAGATTCATCAATCAGTAAATAGAAACTTAAACTATGATATAATTTGTCATGAACAGACCATATGAATTTCAGAAGTAGACATTACTCACATCATACAAGTAATACCAGTATCGACTGACAGCATGTAAAACTCTTAAAAGGAGGATCACATCTAATGATGGGTCTTCAAAGGTGATATTTTCAGGTGGCGTGGGAATAAGGTAAACTTCTAAAGGATTTGATACTGATGGGCACACTCCATCTAGAAAACAGAAGATTACATTTTAAATTCTTATCAAAGCTATAATAGCTAAGCCAGTAGAGCCAGTCATCTTATCCCTAAACCAGCAATTATATTTACTTCTTATTGGTAGCATATCAATAGATGGTTTCTTTATCTTGTACATGAGAAAATCCAAGATTATAAAAGTTTCATTTTCTCCTCATACCCAATATAAGCAAAAAAACAGACACCTGCCCTGCACTGGTGGCTCATACCTGTAATCCTACCAACTTAGGAGGTTAAGATCTGAGGACTCCAGTTTCAAAACCACCAAGAACAAGAAAGACTGCAAAATTCTTTTTTTGTCATGGGGCTCTTCAGCTCAAGGGGAGTGCTCTATCACTTGAGCCACAGCCCTACTTCCAGTTTTCTGGTGTTTAACTGGAGATAAGAGTCTCAAAGGCCTTCCCTGTCCGGGTTAGCTTTGGCTTTGAACTGTGATCCTCAGATCTCAGCCTCCTGAGTAGCTAGGATTACAGGCTTGAGCCACAGGTGCTTGGCAAACCAGTGAGATTCCTATCTCCAATTAGCCACCATAAAACCGCAAGTGGTGCTGTGGCTCAAAGTGATAGAGCAGTAGCCTTGAGCAATAGAGCTCAGCAACAGTGCCCAGGCCCCGAGGTTCAAGTGCCACAACCAAAACTATCAAACAAAAACTAGTACACTCTTATACCTCTGGGTATATATGCCTGCACTGGTACTGGGGCTTGAACTCAGGGCCTGGATGCTGTCCCTTACCCTTTTTGCACAATGCTGATGTTCTACCACCATTTGAGCCACACAGCTACACTTCTACCTTTTTTGGTTAATTGGATACAAGACTCTCACGAGTTTCCTGTGCTGGCTGGCTTCAAACTACTTCAGATCTCAGCCTCCTAACTTGTAATCCTAGCTAGGATTACAAGCCTCCAGTGCACAGTTCACATCTTTCACTTATATCACAAACAGGTAGTACTAAAACAGTCAAGAACAGAATAAAGTTAATCATTTAAGTGGTTTGTTAAAGAAACTTCCTGGATTTTTCATATATAGCCAGCTTGAGCAGGTGAAGTCTTATGAGACACATCTCTAATTAACCACTAAAAAGCCAGAAGTGGAGGTGTGGCTGAAGTGGTAAAGTGCTAGCCTTAAGCTTTTTATAGAAAGCTCAGAGACAGTGCCCAGGTTATGAATTCAAGCTCCTTGGATGGGAAGAAAAGGGAGGGAGGGCGCGAGGGGAGGGCAGGAGGAAGCTTTTACATAAAACTTAGTTTTACAAAAAGCAAATTTGCCGCAATGCTCTTATTTCTGTGAAACAGAGGAAAGCAGTGTATGGAAGGCACTGTGATGGGAGGGGGCCCATTAATATAACAACAACCCAACTCCTAGAGTTTTTCCTGCTGTATTGAGATTGGGGAAAAGGAAATGTAAATAAAGAAGGAAATGCAATTGCACTCTATAGTTTTTTTTTTTTGGGGGTCTGGTTGTGGGGCCTGAACTCTGGGCCTGGGCACTGTCCCTCAGCTCTTCAGCTCAAGGCTAGCCGCTCTACCACTTGAGCCACAGCGCTACTTCCGGCTTTTTTCTTTTTGCTTATGTGGTGCTGAGGAATCGAACCCAGGGCCTCAGGCATGCAAGGCAAGCACTCTACCACTGAGCCACCTCCCCAGCCCCTGCACTCCATAGTTTTTATATTATCTGTAATCACTTTTTAATTCCTTCTGCAGCTGATAAATTATAATTATAGTGACTAACAATAAAAATGAAGGACCAGCCAGGTTGCAAATGACCAGAAGTCTCTACTATTGAAATGTTTCATTCTTCATAAAAACATGAGCTGGGCATTCCTCCTCACGCCTATAATCCTGGCTACTCAGAAGGCTGAGATCTGAGGTTCAAAGTTCAAAGATAGCCCAGGGCAAGTAAAGTCCCTGAGATTCCTATCTCCAATTACCACCAGAAAACCTGAAGTGGTGCTGTGGCTCAAGCCGTAGAGTAGAGCACTTGTTAGGCCCAGAATTCAAGCCCCACAACCAACAAAACAAACATAAATTCTTAAAACCTGAGAGTAAGCAGTTTCCTCAACCCTCTTTACAAATTTAATTGTGTAAATTTTATAGTTTTCTCTAAGTTATAGTCAAAGACTTTACAAGATTTAAATAACTTAAAAACCTTGAGCTCTGGGCTGAGAAGGTGGCTCAGTGGTAGAGTGCTTGCCTTGCATGCATGAGGCCCTGGGTTTGATTCCTCAGCACCACATGAGCAAAAAGAAAAAAGCCAGAAGTGATGCTCTGGCTCAAGTGGTAGAGCACTAGCCTTGAGCTGAAGAGCTGAGGGACAGTACTCAGGTCCAGAGTTCAGGCCCCATGACCAGACCCCCCCTTAAAAAAAAAAACCTTGAGCATAGCAATCTACTTCCCCCCAATCAACATCTTACCATGCCATAACTCATCATGCTTTTTTGCATTTCTGGGGGACGTTTTTGTTGGCGCTGTTTGGGCTCTTCCTCTTTTACCACCAACACAGTCTTTATTACTTTCTTCATCCTCTCTTACAGGTTTGTACCTAAGGTGACCAGATAGTATACAAACAAAATGTATTTGTTTCACTGTTGCATTTTCATACATGTAGAGTATAATGTGAATAAATTCACGCCCTCCACCATATTCCCTTTCCTCTCACTTTTCAAAATGTTTTTGATTTCATCATGCTGTATGTACACACACACACACACACACACACACATACATAATTTATTATACAAAGGCAAAAGTCCACATCACAGACTGAACATGCAGTTACCAGAATAACCCAAAAAACTACCCTCTCTATCCTTACTTTGAATTCTGAGAATTACCAATGACACACCTTCCTATAAAAGACTGCACAACCTAGCTACAGCATCACAGGAGGAAAATGTTATAAAGAATGGCTTCGGAAGAATGACTTCCTTTATAAATAGAGAAATCAACAGGAAATGCAGGAATCTATAGCCAAATACCTTTAGGACCTAGAATGCCAAACTTTTTACCTACTGAAACATTTAATGGAGAAATTTTGTTTTAATTAGGGACTAAAATGCATTAAAAAGGTAGATGTAAATTATTATTTACTACTGTCCATCATATGTTTTCCTAGTAGAATTTGAGGAAGCAGGTATATATATATACAATATACGAAATATTTTAAGAGCTCCCTTTCTTCTTACAAATACCAATCATAACTTTAGTATGAATTCTATAACACATTTTCAAAGTTCACAAAACACCAGGGCTGGCAAAGTGGCTTAGGTCGATGGTAGAACTCCTGTTTTGCAATAGGACTAGCAACAGGAATGGGAATAGGAATAGGAGGGAGGATTTTCCAACTTGCCATATGGTATGAGTCTTTGTCCAAATCCCAGCTCTCCCTAGAGGATTGCTTTCATCATCTGTGGATTCTCTTTCATCTTCAGCCTGTACACTGAACTGTCGTACTGCCTGATACACAGTCATATTGTATGGTAGCAAATGTTCTCCAATATAAAACTGTAGTCTGTGTCTCACATTTCCTGAATTTAAAAACTGAGCAGCCTAAAAAAGAAAGCAAAATCTATTTTAGATACTGACATTGGTGTTTATATAGTTCAATATCACCTGCTGGTCACAATACAAGAATCCTAGTTAATGTCTGAAACCACAGATAGTTACCAAACCCTATGCATGACAAGTAACTTTCATCTGGTATGCTTTGGGACCAGTATTTCAGATCTCCTCTGCCCCTCCACTGGGTGCTTGTGGCTCATGCCCATAATTCTAGTTACTTTGGAGGCTGATGTCTGAGTATCACAGAAGCCAGACACCAAAGTCTTTATCTCCAATTATTAGCAAAAAACCCAGTAGAGCTGTGGCTGTAGTGGTAGAACACTGTACTTGAGGAAAAAAGCTCTAGGACAGTGCCTAGGCCTAAGTTCAAGTCCCAGGATTGGGACTTGAGGCAATTTAAAAGGGACCAAGGTTAAACATAAAATTCAATTTATGTTTCATATGCACCTTCATACACATAGCCTCTAAAGTAAACTTTATACAGTATTTTTAGTACTCTTGCTTTTTAATGCTACCTCAAAAGGCCAAGTGTGGAATTTTCTGCTTATAGAATTTAGGATATTTTGGATTTTCACATTAGGGATGTACATATATATTACATATATATACGTATATGTATGTAATATATTGACTAACATACTTTACAAAAATGATCAGCATTTTATCTTACCAGAGATTCGTCTATTTCCTCATCTGATCCATCATCATCACTGTCTTCATCATCTTCTCTTACTCTTCCATACCCTAAATATACACACAGACAAATAAATGTCTTGCAATTGGATAAATGGTTAACCTGGTATTTTACTTTTTAAAAAAGTTACATATTGACCCACGGAAAAGAAAGACCAAAGAAAATTCTCAAACACAGAGTGTTCTTTCTACTGAAATTCCAACATGGCAAATTAGTTCATCACTCAAATAACCAGTTAACTTATAGGAGAGTCCAACAATGCCAATATATTAGTGGCAGGAAAACAAGTTCCTACTGTGTAGGTTTTATCAGAAAAAATTAAACAGGGTACTAGCCCATGCATTTTTCAATATTACTTTCATTGAAAAGGTATATATGCAAAGTACCTCTAACTACAAGGTATCTCTCAATAGCTTGTACCAACGCCAATGGGTCGATCTTGACAGGTCCACCCTTCCACTGTTTCACATTTGCACAATCAGGATGTCTTTGTAATTGGCATTTTAACTGATGTGTGTTGAAAAATTTTAAAGCCTGTGATCCTCTGTTGAGAGAAAAGCTCAAGATAATTTGCGAAAAAAGGTTAGTCTATTGATGTCACAATCGATAAAAAGGAAGAAAATACACTTCAATTTTCTAAGACACAAAGCTAAACTCTTGTGTCATATAAATGATAGTGCTAGTAACTCAAGTTACTTAATACAGTTAAGAATGAGAACTAAAATGTGAGTGTGGAGTCATGCACATGAAATCAATACTTTACCTTTAATCCATCATGGAACCATGTGAGGAGAATACCATGAATTCTGGTATTTATGAAATGTCCCATTTAGGCAATTCTTTGAAATAAGATTTCTTCAACAACTTAAATACACTTCTTCAGTATTTTATCCTTTCTTACAAAATTAAATTTAGAAACAAAAACCCTGCCAAGCAGTGGTGGCTCAAGCTTGTAATCCTAGCTACTCAGGAGGCTGAGATATGAGGATCACAGTTTAAAGCCAGCCAGGGCAGGAAAGTCAGTGAGACTCTTATCTTTAATTACCAAGAAAGCCAAAAGCAAAAAAGCCCCGAGCAAAGCAAAGTGAGAGACAGTGCCTAGGTTCTGAGTTCAAACCCCAGAATCAGGGAGGGACACACACACACACACGCACGCACGCACGCACGAGCACACATGCACACACACACACGCTCTTTTCTGTTTTCAAGTATTTCAGCTATAAAATAACCTTCAAATCTACTTTGCTACGCATTTAAAAAATATATAATGGCACTAGGAAATGAACTCATGGTCTCAGCCTCCAGCCTATCTCTGCACTGGCTATTTTCTGTGTCAGGTCTCACTTATTACCCAAGCTGGACTACACTGTAATCTTCCTACTTGTGCCTGTGTCACTGGACACCATAGGCATGAACACTATGCCTAGCAATTGAACTTCCCCTGCAGCTGGATAACAGGCACATACTAGAACCTTGCCTTCATTCTGCACCAGCATCCTTGGCTCTCCACTTACCAAGTAGCTAGGTTTATAAGGCTTAAGCAATCTTCCCCAGAACTTCGCTACATTTTGAATAAAGCAGTTTAATAATTACAGCAGTTGGTTTCTGGTAAAGACATATAATCGATTTTTTTTTCTATAAGCTCTGTTTTTCCTATATAAACTCTGTTCTTTAAACATGTCTTTAAAGAGCTTAAAGTTGGTTACCTAGTGTACATAAAGCATATAAACAGGGGTATGGAAAGAAACATGCCATTACATGTATTAAATACATTTTGTATACAGAAAGATAAAACTGAAACATTCCATGGTTTTCTTAAAAGTACTGGAAAAAGTGCGTTTATGTCATACATTATTCAAGGCTTATATAATGATCAAAGCAAGTCAGGTGTGATGGTACAAATCTGAAATTCCAGCTACTTAGAAGGCAGGAGGATAAAGGATATGAGGCTTCCCTAAGCAAAACAAAGGACTACGATGTGGCTTAAGTAGTAGTTCATTCCCAAATACCCAAAACCAAAGCCAACCAACACCCCCAACAACACCAACACAAACACCTAAAAATATATAATTTCAAAGTCTATGCCATGATAGTTTTATGTATTTAAAAACAGATGCTCGGGGCTGGGAAGGTGGCTCAGTAGTGGAAGAGAGCATGCCTTGCATGCCAGAGGCCCTGGGTTCGATTCCTCAGCACCACATAAGCAAAAAGAAAAAAGCCGGAAGTGGCGCTGTGGCTCAAGTGGTAGAGC